TCAAGTATAGGCCCCCACTTTGTACTGGTGGGAGGTCATACTTTAATCAACCAATTCAACTTCAGCCCCCCACACCTCAGTAGAGCCCCCCACCCATTTTTGTACTGGTGGGGGGGGGGGGGGAGCTCTACTATAGTTGTTTATAAGGTGGGGGGGGGGGGTCATATTAAAGTGGGGGGCTATATTTGAATTATACCTTCCGAAATTCTGAAATTCCGAAATAGTGAATTTCAGATTCAGAAATTCAGAAACTCTAAAAATCTAAAACTCTGAAATTCTGTAAAAAATTGACGGGGTTTAAAAATTTTCAGATTCTGAATTTCTGAAATTTCGAAATTCCTAAACTCTGAGACTCTAAGATTTTCAGATTTTCAATTTCCAAAAAATTGTTTTCAACATTTTCAATTTTGTGAATTCTGGAATTTCAACTTTCTGAGTTGTTTAGATTCTGATTTTTTCAAATAAGAATTTTTAAAGAAAAATAGGTAAAATTAGGAAATGTTTAGCAGGTCTGCATTTGTAAAATCTGATTTCCCAAATTCCGAGTTTCAGAATCGCCGCCACCCTTCAACGAGTCAACCCCCACTGGGACCAGGAACGCGTCTTCCACGAATCCCGTAAAATCGTTGGAGCCATGATTCAGCGTATCACTTTCACCGAATACCTTCCAAAAGTTCTCGGAGTAGCGTTCGAGGAACGAATCGGCGCTTATCCAGGATACGATCCAAATACCGATCCATCAGTTGCCAACGAGTTCACTTCTTGTGCATTCCGATTCGGTCATGGAATGATTCAAGAGTTCTATCCATTCCTCAACGAGAAATTCCAACATATCGGAGGTATTCCTTTCAACGATGGAATGTTCAAATCGACACATATTCTGAATAATGGAATCGATCCATTGATTCGTGGATTGATGACGCTTCCAGCCAAAATGCCTCAGAGATTGACGCCAGCTGTTACTGAAAGGATCTTTGGAAATTCGGATCTGGGATCAATCAATATTCAAAGAGGAAGGTTAGTGAGAAACAATAGAGGAACTATAATCTTCTCATAATTCTAAAATCCATTTCAGAGACCACGGAGTGCCACCATACACCGTTTGGCGTAAATTCTGCGGACTTCCTGAAGTGAAGGACTTTGAAGGATTGAAGGCTGTGATAAGCAATCAAATTGTTATCGATAACTTGAAGGTGGTTTACAAGCACGTTGGTGAGTTGGAAAATCGGATTTTGAGCATTTTTAGTGTGTGTAAATTGTTACCGTACTGATAGAAGCTCATCTTGTATGGACAATTTGAGCTCAATTATCTCGGCTCCTATGAGAGATATCAAAAATCTCTTAACTGATAAAATGTAGATAATATTCACAGGTGATTCGCGAACAATCCGTTACGGACGCTCAGCGTTCGCGGGTAGCCCTACTTCAAAACATCTATTGAACATCAAAATCTATCGTATTCCAAGCGAGACCAATCTCGATGCTGTAGCTCTTCTCCGCGACTTGAAAGACACTCGTATCTCATTCCGGTCCGCCAAATTTGTTGGATCCAACATCGAAGTCTCTGTCATTTTCCGTCAGCCAAGATCTGAGAAGGCATTCAGATCCGCTGACTTTGTTCTCGAGAAAAATGCAGATATTTCTGCCTGGACCATCAAGAGCATGAGTGATTT